AAATTGAGAAACAAACAATTTTTAATAAAACAAACAGACGTGAACCTGTTTATTGAAACGTGGATGCAAGTTAGTTAAGGGTCGTTAAACTTTGTTCGTTTTGTATGGTTATTTAGCTTTTATACTATTTATATACAGTACTCCGCAAAAGTAGCGACACTCTTGTAATTCAAGAACTATGATAGCTAGGGGCTTCTGATTTTTGTGCGGTCATAGCTCTTACCAAATGCTGATCACTCACCAAGTTTGGACCTCTTTCATGGTCTAGCGATCAACTCTCCGAAAGATGGATGTGGTACACCACTTCCAGGCGGTGGTTCGGCTTGACTTTTCTCATCATTTCATAGCAAAAAGTGTGCTCTTTTTAATGGCAAATACCGCATGGTTTTATTTGTTTCCAATTAAAAGTTATTCAATAAATGAGAGACTCCACTGTATTTTGAAACCAATAGTAGACTGTTGTTCGTACGTGCACTGGGGAAATTGAAGTAATACCCATAACGACATTTCGAACAACATTTCATCATCTATTCATGTGGCTTGTTTTTTCATGGAAATGGGAAATGAGAATTTTTTTGTTTCGACTAGATGAGAATGCCTGTTGTTTTGTTTTCAACGAAACGAGAACAAATGAAAATAGAAAATTTGACAAAAGAAGAAAACCAATTAATCATTAGATGAATCGAGAATCCATCCTATCAATGCTATAGTATTACTAAATGAGCACATTTTTGGGTATTTTTGTCTTAATCCGTCGTTTAGCATGACTCTTATAATCAATTAAGTGCATGCATAAAAGGCTTCCTCGTTATTGAAAAACTTCAAAGAATAAGGTAAAATTCAATTATTTACCTATGTTAGTGAGAAGAAAACAGAGCAGTCGGTCACCATACGATTCAATACTGATCTTTCCTTCAATAACAGTGTAAATAAAATAAATTTTTGAGAACTTTTCGATCAAAATAGAAAAATATAGAGTAAAAAAGACCAGATACTTCTCTACTTTCGGTTATTTTTTATATAGGTAATTATATTCACATTATAACACATCATTGATTGTTGAATTTTAGAGAAAAAAATTATTATCCAAAAATGAGTTCGTGCTATAACCAGTCGTGCAAGGCTCTCTCATCAGCTTATATGTATATAACAGAACTCTACCTTTGCATAAATGTAAGCTTGATCTTGATTTAGAGCTGTTGCTATCATTGTTCCTATTGTTATTTTAATTATTATTATGGTAATAGTTGCTGTAATTATGCATCACAAGCAAAAGCATCAAAGGCAAAGTACGTACTTTTACATCTGTAGTCGATGATTACTACAGCAGGCGCGTGTTCACAAAGCTTCACAGCACGATTAATGATTTAATTATAGTTTCAATGCCACACCTACACTAGACCCAGTGCAATGTTTTGAAATAATTTTTCTAAACACAAATCATGTTCCACCACAAATTGAACTTTTGAGAGAAAAAAGACAAAAATAAAAACACTCTCAAATCAGAGCCCTGCAGGTTGCGACTTTTTGGCAACCTGTAACCTAACCTGTAAAAAATTTCACAACCTAGTCCTAACCTGACCTATCCTGTAGTTTTTGTTTGCAACTCACAGAACGTTACATGCATATTTGACAAAAGTAAACATACATGTCATTAAGTTTTTTGCCTTTCAAAGAACTAGGGCATGGATGCCTCAAAATCAGAAAAAAATTTCACTTGTACAAAAGTAGAAAGAAATCGAAAAAAATTAAAGCACAACCTGCAACCTAACCTGACCTGACCTATAGGTTAGATTAGTTTAAGGTAGGTTAGGTTTAACCTGCAGGGTACTGTCCCAAATTTATAAATTTTCTTTTTTTAAAAAAGGTTCTGTTCTTCTTTCATCTTAAAACGCCTAGAGGAAAGTAATGAAACCATTTATTAGGTCCTAGTGAACGGGTCCAAGAGATCAACAAGCTGAAAGATTCACTAATGGGAATAAAATAAAAAAGAGCCACAGTAAGTAATCAGTAATTAGTAGAACTAAAAAAAACATATTGAAACATGTTCTATGTTCAGAGGAGTAGTCGCCAATATAATAATAATTACTCTTTACAGACAATATTCGTTTCAATTTTTCTGTTTTCTTTAGTTGATAACATGAGTTACTATTCGCCATCATCGATTTATACAACACCAATGTACGGAGATCCACATCCTCCGTCATCGTTTCTCGCAACTGCTCCACAAGCAGAAAAACCTCCCGCTTATGAGACTTTGACACACCCATGAAACTTACTTACCATTCATTATGCAAAGACTCCTATATTTTAAAAGGGATACATGGATGAACTAGTTGCGCTTCAAAGGTGTTCGATGCACGGAATCATCTACACTCTTAAAAAAATGTGTTCTTCGGTTTTTCAGAGAATTGAGAAGTTATCGGGAATTTTGTTCTTCATTTGTCCCAAATAGATAACTCGAACTGTGTTCCTCAGCACTCAAGAACTCAAAATTTGTTCTTCAGTTTTTAAAAAAATGATTTTTTTCGTTCTTTGAAAAATTGAAAAATAAAGCAAGAGTTCTTGAGAGCTGAAGAGCACAGTTCGAGTTCTCTATTTGGGACAAATGAAGAACAAAATTCCCGTTGACTTTTCAGTTCTTTGAAAAACTGAAGAACACATTTTTTAAAAGTGTATATAAATTATACTCACTGATACATTCTACTTGCGTATTGTATTTTCTTCCTACAGATGAATTAAAAGCTTTTGTTTTTCATTCAGAAATATATGACTGAAATTTGAATGAATTAAATTTTATATCGATGAAATTTACAGCAATCCGTATCTTGTTTCTTGACCATTCTTAGAGAGCAAAGCGACCTTGCAACTAAATTGGCGAGCAATTCGTCAAAGCAGAGCTAAAGCATTGCAAGTCTGTTCTCTTATACATAAAATGTGTTCTCATCAGGGTGTCCAAATCCAATTTTTAGAAATCGGGAGTTTTTCGTAAAAGATCAAGAGTTAATCAGGAGATTTTTTCTAAAAATCAGAAGAAAAACAAGAGAGTATCACGTAGTTTTTCTTGGACAAGCAAAATTTTCATTCTCACGAACGTTTGTGACTTTTTTAGCAAGTAATGAGAAAGTCTGTCTTACAAGTGAAACAAAGAGAAAGATAATCACATGCAGTTTATTCTACTGGCATTTCTCAGTTGTTCATTTTAGTATAAACAAAACAGACAAATATTTTTTAACAAACCGACAGGAACCAAAACAAAATAAAGCGAATATCGAAGTGCTAAAATAGATGCAGAAAAACAATTGAAAATCAGAAGATTTGGCAACCCTGGTTCTCATGCATCGGTCCACTTTCACTAAGAGTTTGAGACACAAAGTTTTATCTGTCATGAAAAATTTGAGTATTTTTAACACATGAAATAATATTACTATACTAGAACAAATAAGATCGAGATAGATTAGACCCAAGAATTAAGCACAAAACTGTAAAATTAATGAATTTTTTTTACGGTGATTGTAGAGTTTTATGCTTAAATCTTTGGTATATCTCAGTTCGACAGCGAAATAAAATTCCTTTAGAGATTTCTTTGCAAGTCAATAGTCATTTCATTGGCTGATCTTCTAACATGAAATGGATCAAGAGAACAGTAATTATCTACAACCGGGTTATATTAAAAATCAGATGATATTTTGCACGAACTTTATCCACATTCTGCATGCCGATTTTGCGCAGAAACTTGCACACACGTCCCTAGTGGAAGTACTGAGTACCAAGTACTTGAAAAAGTGCCCTACTACCGGTATGTTGCAGTACTTTTAGGTATCTGGATACTTTAGGATACACATTCGGGTATCCTGTTGAAATATTAACAGTAAGTGGATACTGAAGAGTACTGGTCAGATATCCGTTCGGTACTTGCAAGTAGTCTTTTAAGTACCTCGTTGAGAGAATTTTGAGTATATTCCACATCGAATCCTCACCATCAATCGCTCTTCCGTCTTGTTTGTTTTGCTGTTTCTTCTGGAGAAGATTAAGTTGGTATTTTCTACTGATCCTCTGTTCTATCTTCGAAAGAGAGAGATATTACTGTGTCTTTCTATGTGGAACGACATTTCACGCTTTTGTAGGTGTCACACAGGAATTTAATAATAATCTCGATCTTCTAGTGTTAAATAAAACGTTTTATTTGAATCCCTTTCTCTAACTCAACTTCTAAAATTGTTTTTCACAACAACAGTTGCAAAGATTTTTGAAGATATTCCATCTTATTTTTTATTTGGAACCTCATACCTCAAACATATTAAGAGCTGCCTTTGTCAAAAAACAAATAAGAAAAATTAATAATTCGTTAACATATAATTTGTTAAATGATTTTTTGTAAATACCTGTCGCGACATCTCGTCCGAATGTAGCAGTTCAGATTCATGCGACCCCTGTAAGATCCATCTCACTACATAACGTATAAAACCTATCTATAAAATACAAAAATAATATGCAACTTTTTTTTGGCATTTTTTCTTCATTTTTGTAGTATGCATTTCAACCATAATGCTCTCTTGTTATGTAGGAGGCAGTCTAAAACGGGGTTCCATATTTTTCTCCATAGACGACCGAGAGAAATGTAAATGTAATAGTGAGAAAAAAAGGAAGAAAGACGAACGAGTAAATAGAATTTTGTGGATTGTGTATGGAAAAAATTCTTCAGTTTATTGTGTAATATTTCTTATGGGAAAAATTCGTCATATTTAAATAGTTTCAATTACTTGATTGATTTTTTTTTCTAAAATGAAGAGAAATTGAAATTTTTTTTCTAGATCTCATTGAATGTACAAATGCAAACAACTTTCTAAAACACCGTCGTCATTGTGTCATTCATAAGAAACGTAAATTTATCTCTTTGACAATGTGTATTTATTAACTATTAGGAAATACCTGCGATCTTTATCATTGTCGTTCGTTAGGCTTTTTTGACTCTGATTATCTAAAATATATATAAAAATATGGACGAACTTTGTGTCGAAGTTGGTCATGCGAATGGTGCCTATTACAAAGTATGCAAAAGTAAATCATCATATTTTTGTTGCTAATTTTACGTATCTGTTTCTGCTAAGGCATATATCTATGATATTGACCAGAATGGTATTGATGTTAAGTACGAGCAAGAGTAAGTAAGAAAAACCCTATACTTTTATGAAAAGTAACCAAGATTTGTTTTTTATAGTTTTTTCCCACCGTCCAAAATACCATTTAATGAAAACCGTTGTCGTCTACCACCAGAATCAACCGATTTAAAAAAACTTCAACCGGGAGATCCGTGTGAAGTAAGTTGTAATCAGTTTACGCAGAGTTATGTATATGTCAAATAAAGAATTTTATTTTCATGTCGAATATAAATTCCTTTTATATTAAATAGTCTTCAGAAAGCTTTGATAAACCGTTTTTTCGCAAATCTTTAGTGTTTATTATCACAGAAAATCGAGCACTTGCAGTGTGAAAAGTTACTTCTTTTATATTTTTCATATTTTCGAAGAATAGACTGTACACAATATTGATAAATTCAATTCTATAATCATCGTTTTAAATTTCAGGTTTTATCAAAAGCCAAGGAAGATGAACCACTTGGCTGGTGGCCTGCTACTGCCAAAATGTTTAAAGGTGATTTTTTTGTTGTCGATTATAAAGTTAGTGCTCAAGGAGCAAGTTATTCGGATATTGTGCCCAGTGATAAAATACGTTGTCCAAACACGAAGTATGTTCGTTTGATTTGTTGAAAGACATTTTTGATGTTTTACTCGACTACGTCTTTTGTTTTAGTCCGATGATAACATCTTCAACGTTCAAAAAATTAGACTTACCAGTTCCGAAAGAGAGTCAAGAAGCGTATGTATTCTCAAGCAGATAAAATCTGTTTGTATAAAAACATATTTATTTACATGTTACAGTTCAACCAATCAAAACAATCATAAAGACTTTAAACGAACGACGGGTGCTGCTGTTGTACGTTATGATCGAGAAAGTGAAACCCTATTAATCATTGTAAGTTGAAGGAGACAAAAATCAATATAAATTAAAATAAAACACTATTGATTCTTCTTTAGTCTGACAAAGAAAATGTTATACGTCATGCACAAATATTGAGTGACATGCATTTTAGAAATCTTCGTCAAAAAGCTAAACTTGTTTCAGATACAGAAAAAGTCACTAAACAGTTAGAGGTAAAGACTAGGGTAAATATACTAACTCTTCTTTTTTTTATATCTTTTTTTCTTAAAAATTCCACGCTTTAACTATCATTTTGACTAACAATGTATTCACTTTTTGTCAGCGTATAATGGTGAATCAAACATCGAAATTTACCGAAAAATTTACGGTTAAAACAGACTTGATGGGTTTAGCAATCGGCACTCATGGTTCAAATATTCAAAAAGCACGAGAAATAGAGGGGATAACAGGTGTGGAAGTCGAAGACGATACATGTACATTTAAAGTATTTGGGGATGTAAGTTTATGTGTATGGAACGATATTAATCTTGTTTCATGTTATTTTTATTTTTAAAAACAGACCGATCAAGCTGTCAAACAGGCAAGAAGTGTTCTTGAATATGTTGAAGATACTGTATTTATACCTCGAGATCTTATTGGTAAGTAGTTTTTGATTACCTAGAAAATTTTATTTCTATGTTTTTTCCACAAACAGATAAGATGGATCCCATATTAACTTTCGTTTATTGTAGGCAAAGTAATTGGGAAGAAAGGACATATTATTCAAGAAATTGTCGATAAAAGTGGAGTTGTTCGAGTTAAAATTGAAGGTGACAATGAACAAACAACCCCACGCGACGATGTAACTTATCCTGTACGCATAATAAATTTTGATTATTTTTCTTTGTTGTGATACGCCTTTCTATATCGTACAATATTTTCGTATTAATCCTTATTTAGAGTCAGGTGCCATTCGTATTTGTTGGTACTGTTGATAATATAGCCAATGCTAAAGTATTACTTGATTACCACATTGCTAGTCTAAAAGTAAACAGTATTTTCATCTTAGCGTTTTTATCATTTCAAAAAACGTTTTTGTTTCATTTAAGGAATTTGATGAACTCCAAGAAAAACGAATTCAAGTTTCTGAACAGTATCGTACAATTACTGGTACTGTTCAAGGAGGAACGGGTTTTCAAAGTATGGGAGGATCAGGAAATAATATGAGCCGCGGAGGACGGTATGCATTTTGAAGAGTAGATTACTTTTGTTGTTGTTTTTATTGTTGCTAGTTTCTTACATTTTCAGCTATGAATCTGATCGAATGAGTAATTCAGGCAGTATTCGTGGTAATTATCGAGATTATACGTATCAACAACAAGGGTTACAGCAACGTGGTAGCAATAATTATCAACAACAACAAGCGCAATCTCAAAACCGACCATCTGGACGCGGACGAGGACGTCGAGCAGGCGGTAATGGTTACAGAGGTGGAACACAAAGTGATATCGGAACTGGAGGTATTTTTAATGCTTATCTATCTTTGCGAATATTTTGTTCGTGTTTGAGAGATGAAAGATGCTAGTTCCATGTTAATTAAACTAACCAATTATGATGTTTATTCACAATTATCGACTAAAGCTTTATATACGGGTATTGTTTTGAACAAAGGCTCGTCATACTTTTATTCGTTCGTTCAGATGAAGCAAGTGAATGTGGCGATTATAATGAGGTTAAATTACATAGAGATTGGGCCGCTACAGTTGAGAGTGAAACTGAATCTGTACAACTAGATCAAACTGGCTACAATACAGATACTATGAGCAATAGAACAACAGGTCGAGGAAATAGTAGAGGAGGTCGACGAAGTTGGAAACGAGGACGACCACCATTGCCAATAAGCGGTATGGGTGCCACATCTCATCTAGATAGCATTGTCACGCCGCTTTGCTTGACTACAATATTGTAGAATATGCTTGATTTTTGATAAATAAGATTTATAGATATATACTGACTGCTCTTTTTCCATAGTCTCAACTTATATGCGCATGGTTAATTTTATTAACATAGTAGTGCTACGTAGTTTAGGTAGAAAATGAGAAGAGAGTTCTGAAGTGATTGAAAAAGCATGTCTAAAGATTGATGTGATGAATGACACTGTCGATGAGTGAGAATAAACACCTTTGCTTTATAGACTGTTCAATCAAATTATTCTATTATTTATTTGCATGTCTAAATCCTTAGAATGTTTTTAAAAAGGATTTCTTCAAACGTTTCTTTTTTTAGATTCTGGTAGTAATGGTCGTGGTGGAAGACGACGAATGAATGATAATGATTCAACAATGTTTGATCAATCTGAAGACTATGTTGGTTAGTTTGGCTTTTTTTGCTCCTATATACTCTAAACTGTGTAGTTAGACAAAGGGAGGAAAATAGTAGCTTTTGATTTAACTTCATTAAATTTTAGCAACTAAATCGAGTAAGTTATGAATGAGTGTGAAGCAAAATCATTGTCGCGCATGTAATCACACACCAGATACTATATGTAGAAGTTATTCTCCTAATATCTAGAGTAGAGTAAGTACTTCTGATTGAAAGGAATACTCCAAAAATGTAGTTTATTTATGCACACATTTTCCATTAAAGATTATTCATCTATTTTTCTGTTAATGAGGAATTTTGGATGTGTGCTATTTTTCAAATTATTTTGTTTATTCTGAATTATGTTTTGCTTTAACCAGATATATTGCATGTAATTTATAAGTGATCTTAATATCATCTTTTTTTTCTTCTTTTTATAGAGAGTAATGCATCAGCTGACGAATCTTATGAACATCAACAACAGTCACAGTCACAATATCCCCGTAATTATAATCGTTATGATAATAGTCGACAACGTGGTGGTGCAAATCGTAGTTATAATACGCAATATAATCGCTATAATAATCATGAAGAATATTTTACTAACACAGAGGGAGGCTACGATGAACAATATCAAAGAACAACAAATGATTTGTCAAATCGTTCGGAATCTAAAATAACTAACGAACAGCAAAGTAATAAAAAGAATGGTTTCGATGGTAACGATGTATCTGCTAAAAATAATAATACCGGCAATGATACATTAAATGGAAATAATTACGATTCATCTAATGCAAAAGGACAACGAAATACAAGACGTGTGACTACAAATAATACCAACAAATCGGATGGAACTCAACAAAAAAATAGTCAACAGCAACAGAATCTAACAACCACTAGCAACGGTATTAAATGAACGTGAATTAACATCAAATAATAAAGCATTTAGGCAAGACAAAAATGGAACACATATGCCATCGACATAAAGCAATGACTTACGTTCCCAAAAATGAAATCACCGCGAACAGTATATACACACGAAAATAGACAAGAAGTAAAAGATTGCAGGCTCTTTGAACACCCTAAAGATTTTTGTTCCTTTTTTCTTGTTCATTTGTTTATGTAATTTTTTTTTGACACATTTTGTGTTTTTCTCTTTTTTTTCTTCTTTTTGGTTGACACTATGAGGATGATAATATATAATAAGCAAAAATATATTTGGATAAAAAATCCCTCAGACATCCAGATTCTCAATGGATGACAAAAACATGCTTTCTTGAGTTGGATATTGTTCTGTGTACATGTCTCGTTTATATTTGTTTGTTTTCTGTTGTCTAAAGAACATAAATATGTGTCTTTGTTCTTGTGCTCGGACATTCTTACTTATAAGTGAATGAAATTGTTAATATCGTGTAAGTATATTGCTGTTAATTCGAAAAAAAAATGCAACTTTAAAATATATTGTCTTCCAAAGAACTCTAGCTGTCTCTGCTTTGTACTCTTTCTTTTTTCGTTTAGTGTTTGTGTGTGTCGAAAATGACTAAGAATACACCTCTCTTTCTATCTTATCTTTGGTCCATGTATGGTTGTTTTTGTGAGTGTTTCACCCTCGCAGAAATTGTTCGTCCACTTACACCCGATTGTTTTTAATCGCATTATTGCTGCCATATTTCATCACCATCATCATGCATCATTAACTATCTATATGATTCTTTACTTCATTTATTAGATCGTGTTCTTTCATTTGATTTTTTGTTTTCTTTACTATTTTCTCTTATTTTGTTTTTTGTTCTTCTTTTGTACGGACTTATTTCTCTCGTTTTATTATTATTTGTTTGATAGTGGACAAAAAATTATAAAAAGAAATAGAAGCACACATGCACCACAAACTGAACATTTTTCAACTACTTGGTTTGACTATGACAAAAAAATTTATTGAAGAAATTAGTAATTTGTGCATTTCAGTTTGAGAGCGATACTATTCTATGCTAAAGCCATGTTAACAACTCAAGTGTAGGAAAAGTTGACTGTCAGTTAGTGCAACATTCATTCTTTGTATATATTTTAAAAAAAATTTTTTTGAAATATTCAACCTTGAGTAGACCAATGTCTCTTTATGTGTAAAGAAATATTCACATGATTTAAAATCCAAACTTAACTGCTTCATAAATCTTAAATATGCGAAGGGATGATATTATTAGAAAACCAAATGATGCTCACAGATCACAATTGCAACATTAGGTAGAGGCGATGATCGAATCTGAACTACTGAGGTAAAAATGAGGATAGAATGTTTTTATACTATTGGATAGAGTATGAAATTCTTTACAATTTAGTACACAGTTCATTGAGAATATCTTGTATTTTGCGCAAGAAAAATCACTTAACATTTTGTTCTAAAACTTAGAGTCAAGCGATCGCATATTGATTAGACACAGTTCTGAAACTAGTATTATTACCTTCGTTTTGGTGACTCTGGAAATTTTAAGTTTTCTAACGTTCTTTGAACTAGTTGAGATGTTTCTTGTTTCGGGCATTCTTCATTTGTCGAGAGAATAGATTTATTCTCGAGGTCAAGAGATCAACTTTTTACACAGTTTACATTGAATGAAATGTTGAAGAACAATATCATGATGAATAAAAGAAAACTTATGCCAAACGAAACTACAATAAAATCTACTTATAGGTCCGGATGAACCTCTGCAGAGTGAGCATTTATCTAGGCTGGACAGTGACTACTTGTTCTTAGTCCTGAACGTGCAAAAAACCTCTCCATTGCGATCAGTTACGAAGTACATTCACACATGAATCATTCTGCAGTGAAATTCAGATCGCGTGCTCGTTTTCATTCTACGTGTAAGACATACAAATACTTCTTCATTACTACCAGACAGAAATAGATCGGGTTTGGGTCAAATAAAAAATTTGGAATTTTTTCAGGTCTGAAAAAAATGTTACGGTTTTACGTTGCAGAAAATACAATTTTTTAAAACTTTTTCGCTGTCATCAGCTATTTTTTTAATAAAATTTAATTTTCGGGTCGGTTGGAAAATTTTCGAGTTTAGTCGAATTTAGAATTAGAGGAATGTGTTCTTTTGTGTGATATATGTACTCAACAAAAAAGAAGTGGTGAAAACTAGAAAACCTTTTTAAAGGGCCACCTTCGTATTATGAACACTTAGGAAAAATCTCATGATGCTTTCAATAGAGAGGTTTTACTGTAGTGTAAGGTCTCGGCTTTAATAATCGAGATTTACTACGTCAGAACAAGAAGTATTTATGTTCTTTGAGAATGACGAACTCTTTCTTTTGTATGAATCGAAAGGTGTTTCTTTTCTTTCATAGAAAGATGCTGAAGATTCGAAAAGTCAGCACGTCTTTATTTTCGCATTTTTTATAACAAGATAGAAAAATGTTATGCAACCGAATATACGTGACAAAACCAAAAAATCGTTAATTATTATGATTATGAGTCCATTACATTTACGAGATATTCCATTTGTAAGTATTAATAGTTTTACTATTTTTTGTTTACCAAATATTTAGCTTAACTATACCTGGAAAAGAGAATAGTTAAATCGTTTCGTTCGGTGTTTTTGAACTACTGAGACTTGGTAACTGCTCTATTGATAAATCTCAACCTTTCATTTTTAGCCTAAACCTTGTTTTCATCATCGAAACTAAACCATTCTAAATGCTTTTTTCCTGCTGTAAGTAGCATTCGTTCTACATTAAAAAATGAATGAAGTCAGTTCTTCACGTAATAGAAGTAGTGCTTCTAACCTATGTAGATCATCTCCTTTATTAGAATGATAATGACCGGGGCAGGAGCCAACGGGGGTAATCCACAATCATATCAAAGTAAAAAAAAGCTGCTTTTCCCTCCATCTATCGTATAAACTGTTTTTTCGCTCCATTAGACGTTCCTACAGGCTGCACTAGAGAGCCCACAGAAAGAAAAGCAGCTGATACAAACAAGAATACTCAATCAGATACAACCGAGCCATTGAATGAAAAGAGTACATTAGTATCATTTTCTTCGACAGCTACCGATCGACCAAGTGACGATAAAAGTGATCTGAATAAAAAAACCGGAGTTAGTTGAAAGAAATCAGCTTTGTATTTTAGTGTAGTATACATTTTTCCGAGAACAGTGTATTTTTATTATCCGGTAGCCCAGTTTCTCTCTCGCTAGAAGTACAAAGGTTTTAAAATTAGATTCTATATGAATGTTACAATCAGTCTAGAATAACTGATTATCGCTTCTCATATACTATTGTACTGTGTCGAATTTTGTTTTTTCTTGTTTTATTAGGCTTATCTGAAATAGACGTGATATGAGTAAAGTAAGTTCTTCTCCTTTCTATCGTCGATGCCATCTTTTTTTCTCTCTTCTTGTGTCTGCATACGTGAGGAGTCACTTTATTCATTCACTCACGTCTATTTCAGGTACGCCTATTATTATACTTTTTCTCTGAAGTGGTATTGATTAAAGTTAAAAAAGCTTTCCCTAAGTTAAGAACTTTTAATCAATACCAATCGAGAGAAAAAGCTGTATATAGTCTATTTTGATAGTTTAAACTATTTTGGACACGTGTTGATGCAGTTATACACTTTTGATCGACAGAAAGTATTCGAGGAAAAACGTAAATTTGGAGACAAATTTAGCTGCAGCGTTTTTTTGATCCCCATTTCACAATAAAGGTAGCCACAATATTCAGCGTAGCCAGTTACATATCTGAAGATGTCTTTTGAGCTTAACAGATTAGGCGAAGCGCCCAGCTGGTGTATCTAACTGAAATTATTGTGGTACCTAAATTATATTAGCGAGCAACTTCGGTCTTGCGTAGATCAATAAAGCATACTCTGGGATATCTCCTAAGTGGTATAAATATAGAGGTCATTAGAGGATATCTGAGTGTAGCGATCAGGTTTTTTAAAGACTCATTACTACCTGAGGGTTTTCAAAGCAAAGTTTCGACTACAAGTGAGTCGATAGAGTAATATCTGTTCTACAAAATGGTGAAAAGCGCAGGTCTTTATGTCTTTTCAATTTAAAGAAGCGCCTCCTTCAATCAGGTTACGCATTTATAAGACATGTGTTCTCTCAAGGCTTGATTACTCCTGCGTATTGTACGATAGCAGCTTCGTTACATTGAAGGATTCACTCGAATCTGTACAAAAACTCGCGACGCACATGATCACACATGACTTTGACACTCCAGGAAGGGATCTAGTATCTAACCTAAGCCTACCTCGTCTAGAAATATGAAGAAAATATTTCCGTTTAATAATATTCTTTAAATTTCTAAACGGATTCACTCCCCTTTCAAGACTAGATTTGATACAGTTAGACTTAGCGAGAAGATTAAATAGGTTAGCACAACACTCAAGACAGGTAGAATTCCTTTCGCCCGAACTGAGACTGTTTTATAATCATTTCTTTATCAAATAGCTTGCGACTGGAACCAAACTCTACCTGAGGCAATTATATCATCCGCCACCACCAAAGGTTTTAAAAAAAACTATGGCAATATCTCTACTTATAAAATGGTGGCATGGTTTATAGGTGCTTAGTATTTTTCATCTATCCCGGTAAAACCGGCTTTTGATGTAAAGCATGTTTTTTTGTTTTTTTTGTATGTTTCTACTTTTGTTGACATGTAAAATCATTTGTTTCATATTCTGAAATAGACCTATCGTGAAATCAAAATTGAAAAAAGGAGTGAAAGAGAAACACAAGAACTGATCAATATATGATGCAAAAGACTTTGGAATAATGCCGAGCCAACGGCGTAACATTAGATCGGTTTGAAGTTTTTTTGTTTGTAAAGTCTGAAGAACAAACGAGGCCAAAAAAGTTCAAATTTGAGGTTCGATTTGTTGCGATAATATTCAGTATATACCAAGCAACACTGGAAACATCTTTGCAACCTGATTTTTCAATACTTTTCGCCACTCGTTTTGCGGTGTCGCATGTTTTGGAGTTTGAACTAAACATACCTACAAATAGACCTTTGCAAGCCCTATCAGCAATGCCCCATCATCAAGGATCGAATTAGTAGAAAGTGTAAAACTGAGAAAACAGTTTGGTTACAAGAAAATAGAAGAAATTTCGAAAAATATGCTGTAGATTAGTTTTTTACGGTCTGCCAAGTGGTGTACTTCACTTATGGATAATAGGTTTAGGGGTGGTATTATTCGCGAAAGAAACTTTTTCCAGTGTTGCAGAACTGTTTTAGGGTCAAAGAACAGATGCTAGCCGGTCTCAAAGTCGGCAACCGCATAATTTAATTTACGTTAGCGCATGAAATTTGTGAAAGTTTCGCCAACTTAGTGGCGCCTGTGACGTGAGACTTTGAAAAATTGCTTTTTCAAGTCAAGAAAGCAAATATTTTCAAAAAATCATTAGTCTTCACACGAAAAGGGCGCTTAGGAATGGAAAAAATTCCAGCTGGACTACAGGTGTTCTTCAATTCTCCCATCAGAATGGCTGTTGTCATTCGACGAACTAGCAGATTCTAACTCGGCTTCTACGGTGAGAGTGTGACTAAACTTGAATGATTGTTTTGAAAACGTACCATCAGTACATAGACTTTATGAAAACAATGCGAAATATGAATGATATGAATCTCAGCCTTTTATTAAAATACGAACAGTCTTTATACTGAGAAAACAACTACCATATGTGATGATTAGTGGAAACTGGGGTACAGACTGATGATTTTTTTTGTGTTTCTCCCAATCAGATATTTCCATTTTAATACAATGGAAACTCAACATCAATACATGATTTAGAATTGCCAAACTGATCACTCTCCGATAGCGGATCTTGCAGTTTTGTTGCATGCTTCGAGTCCAAGCGGTTAGTTTTCATTTTTCTAGATGTTTGCTCGAACGAATTTATCTGTTTTGAGCGGAGTGTAAAAATTAGTCGCTCTTCACATCTCTGGTTTACGGGGTAATCAAAAAAAGCAAAGCAAATCTGATAGATCACCATCGACCAATAAATTAAACACTTAAAAACGTAGAATCTGTTAACAAAACAAAACTGATATCTGTACTATAGTTTGTTCTTTGGTGGAGTCGAGATGAACATATATTTTCGAGAGAAAGTAAACTGCTCAGCCATCGAATTTATCTGAAACTTCTAGTAATCAAGACAAACCGTTGATAATGCTTCAGTATTAATTTATGTTTGATCTGTCTCGTGAATGTTACATCATACGCCTGAAAACAAGAACTGAGTTTGACATAGATAGTTTCTTTGAAATACATGAAATGTTAGTTGCTTTTTCTTGTCTTAAACTATTAATAATTTCAAATATTACTAAAATTAAGGACAAGAGCATCATAATTGTGAATTCATAATGATATAGTGTTTATTTATTCCACTAAAGCGCAAGAAAAACAGCTTTTTTTTCTTTACATATTAGTCAAATCCGAGCAAAGAGTGAAAAAAACAAAGAAAAACAAACAACCAAACGAACACGAATAAGAAAGAAAAACGAACAAACAAATCAATTCTATTTAAACGTCATGAGTATAATCTCATTCTACTGAACATGTATTAATATTCATCTTCAACTCCGAATGTATCGACATTGGAATTATATGAATTTCCATTTCCATTAATTTCATTATCTCCTCTATCAGTGCGATCGGTTCGTCGATCTGACCGTCTTCGATCACGATCTCCTCTATCTCTGGATGTACGCCGTGGTGGTCTCGATTCACCATGTGATCTTGAACGACTTCGACGTCTTTTATGCTCACGACTTGATGAACGACGATGACGGTCTAAAGAAATACAATGAACATGGAAGATATTCAAGATTGAGTTTTTGTTAAAGATGTTTTATCAGTGGTCTGCACGTTTTGCGGCAAAAAAATGAAATAAATTATACTTTTTACCTCTAGATCTTGAACGACGTTTTTTATCTCGACTTCTACTTCGGCTTCTATGCTCACGATCGCGAACGTTTCTATGTTGAGGAGTTGAAGAACGGTTTGGATTGGAACGATCACTTGGGCCACCACGTCTTGTTGATCCTAAACCTCCGCCTAAAAGAAAAATCATTTAATTTTTCAAGCTAAAGAAGAAAAAAAAGATATTTACCTAAACGTCTTGGTCGCCATCCTTTCACTGTTCTTCCACGCTCAACATCAACAACCACACGTCGTCCATCAATTTTTCTTCCATCAGCTCTCTTGTAAGCAGCTAAAACATAATCTTGTTGTACAGAAAAGATCCTTATGGCACTGCAATTATTTACCTTTCATCCATGTGTCATAGAACGCGCTCGAAATAAAAAGGCTTTTACTAAGCTCAAAGAGGATCAAAAGGCTGCGTAGTGCCCGCGCCACTGTCAGTGCTGTCAACAATCACTTTACCTGTTTTTTATTGTTGATCACTGTTCAAGGACAAAAAACGTTTCACTCCAACAGAAGTTAAGAAACGGCCACGAAAAGACAAAAGAAACCTTTACCTTCGAGAAAAAAATTCATGCTATTGATGATCTAACTCGATCGACGTAAAACATAAGTGGTATTAGAAAATATTTATTAATAACTAAAATGTGCGGGAAAAAACTGATCATTTGTTTTACGTAGATCGAAGAAAACAAATAGGAAAAAAATAAAAATCGTATACCTGCATGCCTCTTTATAAATTTCAAAAAAAAGTTTTTTTTTAGTCACCTGTGATAAAGAGGTTTGTTTGAATTTCGTTTGTATCAAAATTACCTGCCTCAATTTTCTTCTTTTTCCGTCCGTGCTGAAATAGCTTACCTCGTCGTTTTTTTTAAATCACTATACAAACCTCTCTATGTTTGTATAATGTGTGTGTGTATAGATGTTTACACATGCAGTGAAACTAAGGACAACGGCCCACCAAAAGATATGATGATCATTAATATTATAGACGCACGGATGTTGTCTTCTCTAGAAGATAAACAACGGTGTCTGATCAATCAAATTTGTCTCAAGAAGAAAAAAAGAAGATTCTTTGCTGATATAATGAGGAACAAACCTGATATTACTCACCTGTTTAGTCACGGAATAGACATACTGATGATTTTTTGAAAAAGAATTGATCGAATTTAGTAAAAACCAATACTGGTAGCTCATATCAAGGAAACGAAAACTTCGATTAACAAAAAAAGTGCATGCACCTCGCTCATTCTATAAAATGATTTAAAATTAATATGCTAACAAAGATAATGTTGTTTTTTGTTTATACTATGTATTAGAAATTAATAATGTATACATTTTAACATCAAACTGTAGGCGAAATCAATTCTCTACATTCTGTCAATCGATAATTCTATTCTAACTCGACTAACAATAGGTTTAAAGTTTTGAATGTTTCTAATAAGTATCTCTTTCGTCAACACACTCAGTCTATCTATTTACTTTGAGTGCTGCAGAAAAACTTCCATGATAATGTAATAAAATAGTTTGTTTTAAATAAAAAATGGCATTGTTCTGTTACTCCTCGAAGTATGTATGAGCACTTTGATACTTGGACTAACTTTCAGAAATAATAAATGCAAATGACAAAAAACATAGTACACTGACTAACAAACAAAAACCACGAAAAATTAATAGAAATCTTCATACTTACGTGACAATAATACAACAAAAAAGCCAATTTACTTACTATGCATATCATTTTCTTTTTCATATTCAATAAAAGCGTAGCCACGTGGTTTTTCATTTTCACTATTATGTACAATACGAATCTAAACAATATTAAGATACTGAAGTTACTGATACAAGTATAATTACTATAATTTAAACAACTAGCAAGTTAAGGATAGATGCTGAAACCATTTAACAGATTTTAACATTCCTCTACTAGACGGCACGAGAGTCAGAGACTAGTTCAGAGTTATATGCTTAAGAGAATTAAAATTGAGAGATTCTAGAAACCATTTAATTGTCTACATCACCGAAAAGACAAAGGCATCCAATAGATGTTAAATTAAACTGACAACCGAAAAATAACATCAAACAATATGCTTACATTCTTAATTTTCCCATAAACTTCAAATTCTCGCTTTAATTTTGCTTCAGATGTATCGTAATTCTAAACAAATAACAACATGAATTAGATCAAGTGTGTAATATAATTGTTTAAAAAAAAGGAATGTAAATGATAAACGTCTATTTTACTTACGATTCTTGCAATAAACAATGTTTTGTATGGATCACTTGTTGCTTGCTCATTACTATTTGGATCCCCTATAATAAGTAAAAATTTAGGTATTTAATATTATTATTTTCTTTAAAATAAACTTACAAAGTGCAAGATCTTGTTCTAATTTATAAGCAACTTGCTCAGCTTTTTCACGACGCTAAAAATAAATAAATGTTGATTGTTTAATACTTTCTGTAAACAATTCCAAAAAAAATGCCTACATACCCTCCTTTCAATTCGTTCTTCTTTCGTTTCGATGCGAGTTGGTGCTGGTGTTTCATCGGCTGACTAAAACAACAAATAAAAAAGATATTTCTTAGAATGACAAGAAGAAATAGTTGAATTACCTCAAATTTATTAATAAAATCACTCATGCCTGAATAAGGCAGACGCTTTTTCTCATGCGGTAATTTATCAACCGGTGGCAAATAAGTGACAGGATCACGAGGTGCAAATAGCGCCAATAAATTCGGTGGCAAAAATTGCGTCATTTGAAAAAAATCTAAAATTTAAAGAAACGTCAGCTTTGAAAATTAAGCCTAGAACTAGTCTTAAAGCACAGTAAAAAAGAAAAAGATAGCCAAAAATAAATCATATGTGTTTGTTCTTAATTTATTTATTCATCTTATTTTAACCAAAAACAACAAATGAACCTTTTCTCCAGAAAAAAACAAAAAGATGATAAAAATTTTCTTTCTTTAAGCTTTCTTTTTCGATACACCAACTGTTCTTCCACGTCTGCCTGTTGTTTTTGTGTGTTGACCACGTACACGTAAATTCCAGTAATGTCTCAAACCACGATGCGCACGAATTTTTTTCAAACGTTCTAAATCTTCACGTACTTTAGTATCAACATTGTTTGACGTTACTTGACTGAATTTTCCGTCTTTAACATCCTTTTGACGATTTAGAAACCAGTCAGGAATTTTATATTGTCTTGGATTTGATATAATTGTGATTATACGCTCAACTTCTTCATCGGATAATTCGCCAGCACGTTTGTTTAAATCAACGTCTGCTTTACGTACACAGACATGTGCAAATCGTCTGCCAACACCTTTGATAGCTGTTAAAGCATAACCAACTTTACGACGACCATCGATATTTGTGTTCAAAACACGAAGTATATGTTGAAATTTTTCCGGTTGTATTAACGGGCTGGACATATTGATTAGAAGCAGAAAATGATTCTCTTCAGGAAGCAATCTAGAAATGGACGAGAAAAAATTGTATAATCGCTTAACTGAGGTGCCCAATAATTCTGCCTTAACGTTAAAGAGGCAGTGCCCTAAATGTTTCTTTTTACATTTTTACAGTTTTTTTTCGTTTTATTCTAATTATATGACAAACTTTTGCATCAAAAAAAATAACTAGACAATTTTGAAATTTTTACTTTAATAGAAGTGAGCTCAGAAGCAGTTTAAACTCAGATTGAGTTTTAAATAAAATGACTATAGACTGAGGAACATCGTATAAAAGAAAAATCGACAACCATAGTGTTACGTGTTAGATAGAACTCAGCGAAGAAGAGTTCAATAAGGATAAGAAATTTGAGTGAATTTCTTGTAATCTTTAGCTTAACTTTGGAAGTGAAAGAGAGAACATTTCAGACCAAAACGATGAGGAAAGTGTAGAAGTGTGTTATACGAACTACTTATTCACATTCAAATACACAAAGTTCATCTCTCTGATAAATCAGAACACCTTCATGCTTCTTTTATCATAACCGATTTTGTGCACACGAAGAAACTTTTCGAAGCCGTTTCCTAGACAAAATACTGAAAAAGAACCAACAATGGCGATGGATAACGAGCAGATGACATCTATAACCTGCACATGGATTTTTCTATTAATTCTTATTCATTAAAGAAACATAAATGACGAGTGGAAATTAAGAGAGTTGTACTCAACTGAAAGCAGCCGAGAAACGACAATACTATCCACTTTTTCTAACTGTTATACTGGCACTAACTTCAACTCTAAAACTGTGCAGTAAAGAAATTAGAATTCTTTTCACGATGTTCTTTTCTGCTATTGTAATAAATTACGATTCATTCCTAGATTGACAATGCCCATTATTTTTAAAAAGTTGCCGCAGTCTGTTGCATTACCTTTAACCGCATCGCATATCACAAATAATCTAACAATTCTTCGTACTGAACAGAAAGGGTTGACATCGTTTGCCTCTGCGCACAAAAGCGGTGTGTCAATAGTGAGTTACAACTATTCTGTTCTCAATGCAAATCAACTAAGTGATATCTCTTTTTATTCAGTTCGTAACAACTGACGATTTTAGTAAACAGAATCAAGCGCAAGTGTGGTGCCGATCAAGTTCAGCACCATCAGCCGCAGCTGATAATGAAGCACAAAGTTTATCGTATGTCATAGAAGTAGGTCACAAGCAGAACATTCGATCGGGGCGAGGAGGATTTCCCACCCCTGAGATTTTTCTTCTTTCTCCCTGGGTAAAAGATTTCCACTATGCGCGCCAAAAAAGACTTTCTCCCTAGAAATTCTATCTCCTGTAAAAAAACCAAACGAAAGCTATGGTTACAAGAAAAGTACAAAACCTTCGTGTAATGACTGTCTTTTACACTTTTAGGCAAAATTTATCATTCTACCTATTCGAACATTACTGGTAATTGCATGTGGAAAAAGTGTTCAAGTCAGTAATCTGTGCCGCATTTTGTGACAATACGTTTTTGTGATTTTCTTCTTTTTAGATGTTTGAATCCGATGGTTCTGTAAATGTTCATATTCACATGCTGCCGAATAGTCCAAATAAATCAGGTTTAGAAAAGCATTCATTTTTCATTTCTAGCGTAGCATTGCTAAAACCTTATATTTCAGAATCTTCTATCTATGCCAGAGGTATCGCTGCGTGTGGCCAAAATTCAATATGTGTGGGCAAGTTATAGGCTCCTATAAAGGGTTTTATTCTTACGAAATTGTATGCTTTTCGTTTAAGGAAATCATATGGGTGAAATTATGATGTTCTCGTAAGAATTTCAGTTAATAGTTGACTGTCTCGATTTTCTAAGTGAATCTCTACGTTTAGAATTCCTTCGAAAGGCACAAATATTTTTGTTAAAGAAACGTTACCGGGTGAGATTGTATTATCATAGATTTCTATATGATACTTATGATAATTTTGTCCGGTTATTTTAGCTCATCAATGTGGTGTGACAAACATTGTATCAAATGACGAAATACTAATTTCTAGCGATACTCTTGGAGTAATTTTAATATGGAATATTAGTACAATGTTGCAGAGAAACAAAATCGATCCCGTTAGGTTAGTTTGAGGTTATAATATAAATAGCTCTTAATTATAATATCAATGACTTTTATTTATAGTGACAGCGGCATAACATCAATGGGACTGTGGAACAATTATTTAGCATCTAGTTATGCAAATGGGATGATTCGCATTTATGACGTTGAAGCAGGTGCGTCTCTGCGGCCCCTTTACTGGCAATCTACTGATAATGAACTGTTTGTATTGAAGGTAATATGTGTGCATCAATAGCCGCTCATGCAAGATGTATAAACGCCCTTGATATAAATGACAACGGGCTATTAGCGTCTGTTAGCGACGACAGTTTTCTTCGTGTATGGCAATTATCGTTTTCCGATGAAAATGACTTATTAGTAAGTCTCGTCTTCAATTCTTTCAATTAATAGATGAACATTGATACCATTGTTTTACAGATTTCACACCAGTGTAATTATCGTATTGAAAACAATCAGCTTGTTGGTGTAAGGTTTTTAAGCCGCACTAAAAATGATCTAGCTGTATGTGGATATGATTATCAAGAAATAACGATTCTAAAAGCTTGAATGTTATTATGTACTATAAATATTAGAATGTTTCAGATTTTGATGTTGTTCTGTAGTTATGCTTCAAAGATCGTGAGTTTGGAAAAAATCTTATGGACTCAAAGTTCTTTTTTGACTCCGTCGTTATAACGAGGAGCGAGACACCAAATGAAATCATGTTAAACAAAATTGATGTGTGTGCAACATAGCTTTTGTAGATATTAGTTAACGGTTTTCTGAGGCAATTTTCTTGTAAATAACGTATTTTTGTATTGCTTTCAGTGCGCGATTAACACATAGTTTATTATGTTGTCTTATAGATAAAATATCTATCAAATATTTCACATTTGAATAACCGTTACGAGAAAAAAATGCAATTAAAAATCATCAATGCATTACCCTTCGATAAAAGAAACGTTTTCAACTGTTACTCCTTCTATAAAAGCCGATACACCTGAACTGGCAGATATAATCCACAAATAATTCATCACCCTCATCAGCTTGTCAATATATATAACAGCATTTATTAGTGCTCGTCAAGCACGTACGACCTTTCATTAACTTATTCCTACAATCGTTTGTGGATCATATGATGACTATATCAGCACCTCTCTCTGTACAGTTTGCCGAGGATTACTTCCAAAACTTTAGGAAAAATGTTCAAAATAACATTAATTTAGATGGAAACTTTCTTGCGCCTGTTTGTTTCAAAATTTTTCGTAAACTTTTAGAAGTCTATCTATACGTCATAAATAGAAAATCCTCCAGGTTATCGGGTGTGCTGGATACGAAAAAGCACTTTTCAGCGACTCAAAATCAACTTCATTCTTTTTGTTCCGGTGATATGACCCTTCTTCATTATCTTGGAAGCTTGATGTTTGTGAGACCGATCTGATTAGTCTCCTGTCCTGTACAACAGCCACAGTTTTAGATTCTTTTGATAGTGATGTTTGTGCTGAATGTGTCTCAAGAAGTTGTTTAAAGACTTTTGACTAACGAACATCTCCCACTTCTCGAATAAGACTTTCAACTGATGTGACGGCGCTTTCAAGCGTGGTGAACGAAGCCGCATCTGTTTGTTTCTTCTCCTCGATTCTATTCTTTGTACTATTTGTTCGAAATGTGGTAAATTAAAATGAACGGATGCTCGTCGTGGGCCATCCGACCGGCACTGGATCAAGGCGAAGGTACCATCGTCAAATGGTGTTTTCAATATCCTTCGATAACATTGTGCAGGAGATGAAACTGTTCGTGCGATATCATATGACATGCTTTAAAACATTGACTCATCGAAACGCAGAGAAAAACATAAATAAAACAAACAGATTAAGAATTATCTTGAGAC